ATAATTACTTTTATACATGCAAAGTGCAAATTATTAACATACATGTAACCGCAATAATTAATCACCCATGTACAATCGCAGCTCCACAACTCTCCTGGATGACTCACAAGGACAAAAACAATTACACTGTTTGCCCCGTACACCACTGTAACGCTCCGTGACTTGTCACTGATTCATTATTCATACTTAGGGCATTATTATTCCATTGTATGCGGGGCAAAATGGGATCATTAGCGCTGAATATGAGAATGTGAAAAATGAAAATATTTGGGAAAATGGTGGTGGATATAGTGGGTAGGAAACCCCAAACAATCCCAACTATTAGTAGATAAAGAATGGTAATTTCCCCAGAAGTAATTAGGATTAGCATAATATGGTGGTGAATGCATGAATGATGCATGTATGATTGATACGTCGATACACGCTCTGTAATGACTCCCTTATCTCCACCCCCCCAACTGAAGACTTTTGTGTGAAGCGCAGCTCGAGGTGGCATCTTCATTTGTTGTAGACCTCCATGGGGGGACTATGTTAGGGGGCGCCCTGCCTCATGCACGCGGGCACACACACACACACACACACACACACACACACACTGGGGCTACAGTGGAGTGGAAGCGGTTGGAGCTCACTACAGCATCTTCCTGTAGTAACTGATTGAAGATGGTTCTTTTATCTTGACAGGCTCCTTGTTAGAGCCAGACCAGGAAATATGTTATGGCAGCTTATGTTCTCCTTATTCCTCTCAGAGAGACAGACTGTCTGTGTGTGAGTTTGAGTGTCACTTACTGACTATATAGAGAAGGACAACACAACGACACTTCCTCTTCCTTCCACTTGGATTTTGACGCCGCCATCTTGCGCTCGGGGCGTGAGTGGAGACGAGGTATCGAGATCCTGCTGATCCGACCGACAGCTGTCACAACGAGGCCTCAAGCCCTTAATATCATCAAATAACCAACGAAAACTAAGATTATAAGAAACATGAACATACATCAAAGTGAAAGTTTGGTACAGTGGAAGGAAACAAAACAAAATGTCCATCTTTTTATCCAGTCTACGATCTTTATGTACTTTGTGTGTGTGTGTGTGTGTGTGTGTGTGTGTGTGTGTGTGTGTGTGTGTGTGTGTTTGCGTGCAGCTGCCCAGCATTATCAGCAGTTACTCTTGTAGTGAGTCACTTTGAGCTGCTTCTAAGTGACAGCTATCGATTGGATGTTTGTGTTGTTGCAGAGGCTTCAAAGCAACACCTTGCCCTCTGCATCCCACTTGAGATAGTAGCTCCACAGTATCCATATTCAATACAGTAGCAGTACAGCATGTACTTGGCTTCTTCCTGCATCTGGTCTGTATAAGTGTGTGGAATGTGGCATCTTAGGTTGAGTCATGACCCTGCAGCTTCTTCTCAACTTCATTGACTTTTGCTTCTGCACATTGACTAAACAAGGATCAGTGCAGCAGAGAACAAATGCATCTGCAAATCCCAGTTTACATTGGTCTAGAGGTTGGGGTACAACCACATATATATATAATATACAACTCATAAAGGACCATAATAGTTTATTTCCTCACACAAAGACAAGGCAAAGTCGAAGTACAGTTCGATTTTGTACTATTAATGATCAATTTAATATATAGACCTACTGAGCTGTGAGCTTGACCCAAAATGGCTCACTTAACTTCAGCGTTCAAACACTACAAAGTGTTTTGCTCAGATAATGAAGCAGGAGAGCTCACGAGAACAGTGCATACTCATATATATACTAAAAGACGATGACTTTTCAGTAACCTCCACAACTGTTCAGCCTAAGAGACTCGAGATGTCTCCGTATTTCTCCATTATTATTCACTTTCCCAACAAAACAAGCCTTTAACAGCTTTGCCCTGTGGCTACCGATCAAACATCCCACATTCAGGATCATTATGTGTGTATCAGCTGAAATACGTGCACGGGAAAAGAGCAAACTGGATGGTGTTGGTGGAGGCAGCTCGCCGAGTGTCAGCTCAGTCTTCCTCAGCACATTCAGCTGACCCCAAATAACCTCCCGTCCTCACGCTGCCTTCCTTTTCCTTCTCGCACCGTCTTTCTCGCTCTCTCTCTCCACCCTCCCCTCTCGTCTACCTCCATTCAGAGACGTCTGAATATAGGTCAGCGTTTTCTAAAATCCTCATCCTGCTGAAAGTTTGATAAGTGTTCTCCAGGTGGTAGTGGGGTGAATATTAAATTTGTAATTGGGGGTCCCAAGTAGCCACCATTAGAATATTCAGATTATTACAGAGAAACAGCCACTGCACAGAGGGGCCTCGCTAACAGTCTGTGTGATTCTCTTAATGTGATGTGAATGTGCTCTTAGATCTAAATGGAGGGAAAGAGTCACTTCTGCCTCTTTAAAATGTCAAATTACAAATTTGTTTCTCTCCTTCACTTCCAAATAGCACATCTGGTGATATCTATAGCCTTTGGTTTTACTCACCCAGAATCGGAGCAATCCATCGCTTGATTTTTCTGCCTTCATCGCAGTGCGATGGAGTTGAATGGATATTCTTTCACTGAAAAATTCCATTTAAAAGATTTGACTGCAAAAATGCTGTTCTAAAAACGGCACCCACCCCCCCACCCCTTCCTTCTGGATATCCCATTAACCATTTTCATTTTCACCGGGAAGAAAAAACACAGTTATGCAACAAATTAAAGGAAAAACTCTGAATATGAAATAAATGGAAAAACAACATGATGGCAGCAGATGCTTCCACACACGAGGTGTCACTGACCACTTTAAATATGATCTGAATCACATGCTATAGCCTCCGCAGTCACCAGATCTCTGTCCCTCCAGATAAGAGAGACATCAGTCATTTTCAGCAAGTACGCCACACTGACATGTGTTGATGTGACACAACTCTCCGTTAGCTGTAGAGAGTACGACAGGAAATATTATTAAGTGTCGGCGTCTAGAATTCGACATGGAGGTCAGGGTGAATGGGTGGGTCAACAAAATATTAGCCTCTTTTTCCAATTTCCAAATTGTCAATTTGTCTCAATGAGCTTTCTTTTTAGAGCAGATCATATTGCACAAGATTACTGTGAAAAAGCTGAAGGACACAGCAAAACAACTCTCTCTCTGGCCTGCGTAACAAATACAGCTCAACTCGCCGCTTGTTTTTTTGTTTGATTCGATTCAACAAGGATCTGATTGAGCAAGTTTTACTTTTACTAGTTTTATGGTGTTTCTCTGTGCAGCCTAGTTCAGTTCATGGCCTCAGTCAAGTTAGCCAGGTAGTTTACATTGGCAATTAATCCTGCATGTTTCTCTTCCAGATTTAGACTGTGACAGATTCTGGGGTAAAATCGGGCCAAATGTCTTTTTTAAGTTAGATGCATTAAAAGTGGAAAACACCTTCTACTCTTTCACGCCTCTGCTATTTTAAAGACAAGTAGTTTCTGTGAGTTTTTTTTAGTTTGAATGTGGACGTTTCACTCACGCTCCTCATATTCCCACAATTAAAGTCCCACCTCCACCAGCCCCGCTCGAACAGCTCGCCATTAATCAGTGTTTGCGCTCGATTTCCCTTCCGCTACAGGTTATGATTTTCACATTACTCCATGCTCCTTCACAACCGTCCGACAAGGAAGTGACCCCAAACCCCGGCGCCGCCTTTCCACTGCCACTACACACACAAACACACACACACACACACACACACACACACACAGACACCACAAATGTGTGCACAGGTATGGTAAGAAATGAAGCCGCTACATATTTGTGGGTGCTAATGTGTGTGTGTGCACATATTATCGTTCTCGTACATGAACGAGCCCCCCCCCACCACCTCACACCCATTATCCTTTTCTAATTACACTTTTCTTCTGAAACAGTGGATCAGAGGGCACCATTGACTGCTTTTAATCCGCCACCAAATTTTAATTAACACAGACGTGACCCCCCAGTCGCCGATACATCCCGCAGAACGTCGGGATCACAATAACTCATAAATCACAGTCGCAGAATTCATTCCCACCACTTTCACCCCCGCTGATGAATTTCCAGATGGGGGCTGGTGGCTGTTAATGTCAGGAAAAATATGAGTGGGGGGGGGGGTTAGGCAACGTTAGGAGAAAGACTGAAAGGCAACGTTTGTGGGAAATATAAGTCGGTTTTCATGTGCATGAAAGAGGGAGTTGAAATATTGAGAGAGAGAGAAATGGCCGCCGCTCTGGTATGCTGTCAACCTTTGAGAGATTTGTTACCGGGGAGAGGATTATGGAGGCTGTGAAATGGGGTTGTGTTAATATGCCGGGTGTTGAGGAGCACGATGTGGGCCAGCCGCCTTCACAGTCTTTGAAAATCAAACAGCTGAACAAGTGAAAACTGAAAATGACTCAATGATGTAGTGAAAGAAACAGTTCGTGCCAGCGTGCACTTGAGGGTAATATCTCCTTAATCATGCATTTTTAATCCATGGACATTTCATAAATTACAAACACATGAATTATTAAACCTGTTGAAATAATGCACACGAGTTGTCATTAACAAACTGCAAATCAGATTTTCTATTAAACAGAACTACAGCTGTGAGGGTCTTTATTCTTCATTTGTATGCTGCTCGGTGCTTGTGTGTTTATGTTTGTGTGTTTGCACACAAGTGTATATCAGTGTGTGTGTGTGTGTGTGTGTGTGTGTGTGAGGTGGAGGTGGGCAGGGTGCCGGGGTTTGTTATTACTAAATCGCTCATCCATGTTCCTAATTAAGATGCATAGCGTCCCCCTATGAGCATCAGTGTCACTAATTATCAAACAATGTAGTGCTCACCAGATATGAGAACTGGCAGCCTCTGTAGTCATGTTACCAACTTATTACTGCTACAATTACCAAGTGCCTGTCATTCTACTTGTTAGTCATCTGCCTTAATCTGCCTTTTCTTTTCTAATGCTCGTCTTTTTTTCCTCTCCCTCTCTCCTCTCCCTCTCTCCTCTCCCTCTCTCTCCCTCTCTCCAGGCTATGGCTTTGTGGATTTTGACAGCCCAGCTGCGGCACAGAAGGCCGTGTCGTCTCTCAAAGCCACTGGGGTGCAGGCCCAAATGGCCAAGGTAAGGACGGCATAATAACAAGTTAGCCTCACCACTTCCTCTTACGTTGTCATTCACACTTTGTTGAACACTCAGTCGTCCCCCCCCCCCACCATTAAAAATCGTTGTCCTGACACTCTTAACAGACGTTGACGGATCCCACATGCAACTGGTATTTTTATGGAAAGTAATATTCCACGGTGCTTTGCTGTTTAATGACAATCTTATTAACTTTAATATGAGGACTAGTGAATGTGGACTGTGTGTATATGTTGTCACATGACAAGATGGGAGGTGCCTGTGGTGTGTGTACGTCTGTTTTATCTCGCTGACACTCTGAAGCGAAGCTCTTGCTTGTACATTCGCAGGTCCCTTATTTCTTTGTGGTTATATGGGCTTGACTATTTGTAAGAGCGTGCATGTGTGTGTGTGTGTGTGTGTGTGTGTGTGTGTGTGTGTGTTCAATGACAGTCTTGGTTACCAGTGTGTGAGCTGGTCGTGCTTTAACTGAGGACTGACCAGCCGCTTGTCCTGTGTTTTGCAGTATGATTAGGCTGCTGAAGTGGAAGCAGATGAGTCGAGCTGTTTCAGTCTTACAAAGAGGGCCCCAGTGGATTACACAATGGAGCCAGGCTGACGGACATAGATACGCACTGAAAAAAAGCATTTACTTATTCACAGTTCCCCCTCAATATATTCTATTGTATGTTCAGGTTGGGACTGAATGTTCAGTTTTACATACTCAGCTGTTGGTCGGTCAGTTTTAGCAGAGAAGAAGAACGCTAATGATATTGTTTGGTGTATGTCAGCCCTCACGTTGTGATCGTATTGTCTTTCCCCTCATTTTATCTTTTCTTTTCATTACTGTGCTGACTGTGCAGAGAATAGACTAAAGCACAGCAGGGTCCGGTTTCTGGACGCCTCGAGCCCACACGGCTCAACCGGGCTATTTCTGTGACTGCAGAAGATCCGCCGGTGTCAGAATATCTAAATAGATGGACAAAATGTCAGTAGCATTATAGCAATGAATATGGTGATGACCACGGGGATACAGTATGAGTGATTTTCACAGATGAGATGGTCCGCATTTGATCTGATGCAAAAATCGCCCGCCCCCCCCCCCCTTGAAGCCAAAGGAGCCATGATGAGATGGAGAATGACCATGGCGCCGGCGAGGATGACAGAATTGATGATAACGATGAATGTGGCAATTATTTTGATCAAATGGGATGAGGTCTGACAGGAGGAGATGATGTTCTGCGTGCGGTGCTCAGGTGTGCCATTTCTCAAATGCACCATTTGGCGGTTTCCTCCCCCCCACCAGTGTCCTCCTTCCAATATTTATAAGAGGACGGGCTCTGAGAATACAGATCAGCTGAGCTGCTCCCCTTCTGACTTTAAGACCGACTTTGCGTCGCTTCCCTTTTCTCCGTCAATATTTTCACGAGAGAGGCCCCACGTCCCGAAACAAAAGAGCTGACCTTTTTGGGTGTGTGCGCAAATTCACAAAACCCTTTGCCATTAGCATTTGTGTAAAATAGTTTATTTTTGAATGTTCCCTTGTTCTGTTTACACAAATGGAAAGGCCAGCATTGTGCCGCTCTGTACTTTTATCACACTTGTGAGAGGCATTAAGAAGTAGTTTGCTTTTATAGACTCTCTCTGCATCTCTCCATTGTCTCTTTACCAGGTATCACTACCATCACTCTACTGGCTCCTCCTCCACCTCCACCCCTTCTCCTCTTCTTTCTCTTTTGCTTAACGCTTGCCATCTTTTGTTTTTTTTCCTCGGCACACAAACACTCCCACATTCATAGACACATTTGTATTCACATCCACCGTGTGTTGCCCTGCCAAACATCCAATGAGTGCAATTTATTCCCATCAATAATTAACAGCAGGCTGTCCTTGTGCATTGCCAAGGTGTCTCTGACACCCTTCGCTCAGACGTGGCACAGCGGCGTTCCCCTGGCAGGGCCGCATGACAAACCCAGGTGAGCTGTGAGGAAGGTGTAAATCACAAAGACGATTGCTAATGCCACGGACGACTTCTACGACGAGAGCTCTCAGCCTCATTCTCTCGCTCTCTCCACTCCATTTTGTCACATATATCGCTCCACAACAAAGTAATAAACGGATTGGGAGTCAGAGCCAGAGGCTTTGAGCTCATTAAATAAAACCCTCCTCACTGTAATCAACTTCTGCCTTTTTCCTGCCTTGACGCCATTAAAGCACTTTTATTAAGTTGCCTAAATTTAAATACAGCTGCAAGAGGAGGCGAGCAGAGAGAAACAGGGAGAAGGGAAGTGTCACTTGATTTCCTCCTCTCCCTCCGATGTAACAGCCCGCTGTCTCTCCTCTTACTCCCCTTGGAATTTGAAATACCAAGGCAGCAGAGATGAAACATTGCCTTCCTTTTGTCTTGCCCTCCCCTGGGGATGGTGACAACGAGAAGGAGGAGAGGAGCCATAATTAAGACACCTAAAGGACACTTCCCCCCTGCACCTCCCCTCCTGTCACTCTGTTCTGCTCAAGTCACAGATAAGAGCACTTAGCATAGGTGCCGTGTGTGTTTGTGTGTGTGTTCATTGTGAATCTGTGAGTGCCATGGTTAAAACAACATTTTAAAAGTATAATAATATTGTTTAATATATGATATAAGAATTTTACCCTAACTTGCGATTAAAAACTCATTTCTGATGTAACGTAATGAAACAGTGGACCACAGCGTATTGCACTGCGCAGCATTTTCATCATTTGAAGTCATTTTTGATTCCAGTCATAAAGTTAATTCCTACATGAAAACATAGCTTTAGATTTTGGACAGTATTAGTTTAAGACTGTTACACTCACCGTGCCCTTGATTAAGAACAGCGTGTGCACTTCCTTACTCATGCAATTATCCAATCAGCCAATCATGGGGCAGCAGAGCAATAAATAAAATCTGATTAAAGTCAGAAGCTCCTGTTAACGTTCACATCAAACATCCGAGTGAGGGGAAGAGATTTGACCTCAGGGACTTTGACCGTGGCATGATGGGTAGAGCCAGAGGGGCTGGTGTGAGTATCCATGAAACTGCTGATCCCCTGGGATTATCACGCACAACGACCCATAAAGTTTTTCACCAGAATGGAGCCAAAAAGAAACATCTCGTGTGCATCAGCTCTGTAGAGAGAAACACCTCTTTGTTGTTGGGAGGTCAGAGGAGAATGGTGAGACGTGGTTTGAGGGGACAGAAAGGGCTACTGCAGAATGTTGGGTCAGAATCTGGCATCAACATCATGAATCCAAAGTTCCAGTTCCAGCCTTGCGTCAACAGTCAGGCTGCTGTTGCTGCTGGTGTAATGATGAGGGGAATGTTTTCTTGGCCCACGTCGTTCATGGTTTGGATGCCACAAAGTATCTGATTATCTTTAACCGATCATGTGGCCGCAATTTACCCATCTTCTTCAACGGCTACTTTCAATGTCCCGAATTAAAATTCATCTCAAACCGGTTTTGTGAAAACGAAAATGGGTCCAGTGGCTCCAATTCAACGGAAATGTGCAGCTGAGAAATCTGCACAAATGGTATGATGCCATCATTTTATTGTTGACCGAGATCTTGTGAAATCCATACCTCAAATAACGGCTGCTGATTTGTGAGCAAAGAGAGACCCTCCCCTGTAACAGTATGGTGCTCTTAGTGTTTTCATTTCTTTGTTTATGAACATGGAGCCAGAAGACAGTAAGCAGAGCGAATCTGGATCCCCTCAGAGTTTATGTCTACTAAATCCACGAAAGCTGAGAAATTTACATGCTGTACTTGATTTGTTTAATCTCTGCAAAGACAGGAATATAAAAATGACAAACTGTGATTTGACGTGCTGTTTAGTTAAAGCACGTGACTTCCTGAAGACGGAGGAAGAAGTTTGCATTACCCAGCAACCAGTGGATAAGACAAATGAAATAAAACCTATAAAACATGTTAAATACGAACTGTAAGGTGCTGTACATTATTTTTAAGCTTTGGACACAGTCAGGCTCTCTTTTCATTCTGTATTGATCTTCTCATCTAACCCTCAGTAAGAATCAAATGAGCATATTTCCCAAAAATGGCTTATTATTCCCTTTTCTATCAGGGATCCAATACAAATGACTCGTATTAAAAATGTATAGTGCTGCACATCATGCCATCTGGAAACAGGATCCTATACTTGGTTCATTGCATTATGAGTTTCATTCGGTTTTAAATAATCGCGAAGATAAAAATTGTTTAATCAATACAGTGAACAACATGAGCACATGGGTGATGCTACAGGTGCAGAGTAAGAATATAACATCTTTGCATTAGATATGGATGTTTGTGTGTGTGTGTGTGTGTGTGTGTGTGTGCACGTGCATGTGAGTGTAAAATAATCTTTCGGCACGTATTTGTCTCCTCAAACCGTGGACTCCATTCTCCGTGTCACTTTGTTGAGGTAGCTTTCTGAACCGAGAGAAGAGACGCGTTGAGCCGACAGAAAGATAACAGGTAAACGCAGCGCCTAGTTTCTCAGATGCAAACCTGTCAACCAGCCGCCCGCCTCACTCTCCACGGGCTGCCATTTTCCCCTTGAGCCAATCAGACTGAATTATGGGAAGGGCGCCCTCGATTGTGGTGTCTATGTCGGAGAGGTAATTCCGCCTGACAGCTGCTTGCTTTCAGACAACAGCCAGTCTTTATGGAAATCATCCCTCCCTATTCTCCCGGCAGTCGGCTTCTGCTGATAACAGTTTGGATGAAAACAAAACTGTCCTTTTCTTCCTCTTTTTTTACAACCGTGTGTTTTTCTCTCCTCACTGTGGACGGCTTGGAATTAGCAAAACAGCTCTGACAACCTATGGAATATGACAATGAACATTCTGCTTTGAAGATATACATACTTAGGACCAACGTTAACTCAGAGTTCGCTCTTGTTTTCTATTTATTTAACTCTCAAAATCTGACATGATAAACTGTGCCCACTCACTGAGGTATGAAACAAAGCTACCGTATTGATT